ACTTTGCGATACCAGCACAAAGGTTGAAAGGGTGCTGTGGAGAGAGCAGATTCTTCAAAGGAGGTCATATATATTTCAGTGATTGTCACCGTGATTGTACTCTCCCTAGTGTACTGTGATGTCACTTGCATTGTGACGTCATAACTCAGTTATGACGTCATAGTGACGACGTCATAGTCCTAACTGCCAGTACTGCCAGTTCACCTGATGAAGGGACCTGGAATGGTCTCGAAACGTTGTGAGAGAAATTAAAAAAGAAGTTTAATCCATAAAAATATCTTGGACATCAAGGTCAATATTCATTATTTCATCCCCCTTCTAATGTACTAGGTGCTCGTTGTATACGTGGGTAACAAATAATTTTGGGTAACATATATTTGTTTCATATTCGGGATTCGAATCCCGAAGCTGAATTTTTTTCATGATGCATTTCTAGTACACATTTGGAATTCGGAACTTCAGTGTCCTTGTAACTACGAGGCGGTGGGGTAGCCTAGTGGTAAAGCGTTTGCTCGTCACGCTGAAGTCCCGAGTTCGATTCCCCACATGGGTACAATTTGTGAAGCCCATTTCTGGTGTCCCCCGCCGTGATATTGCTGGATTATTGCTACAAGCGGCGTAAAACAAAACTCACTCACTCACTCCATGTAACTATACTCTTTGCGCCTTCATCTGTCATCGTATCTGTCCTCGGCGTTGCCGTGCACCCTCGGAAATAGTGAACGGTCCTGAAGCTCTTCCCTACTTGCAGGCGTCAACCCTCGATGACGATCGAAGAAAGACGAACAATGTCAATATTCATTATCATCACTATTATCGGATTCTTATCCCGAATCTGATTCTTTTTTCACATTCGGGATTCGAAAATAATGTAATTCCAATGTAAACAAAATAAAACCTAAAAAATCCTTACTTCGTCATTTAGCTAAAACGTCCAACTAAGTCACCAATCCTATATTATAGAACGAGTGACAGGAACCAATGAGTGTATTCACGTAGTGTGGTCTGTCTGTACCACCACGGTGTTCATTGTGTAGTGTTGCAGTAGTCGGTGTTTCCTGTACCACTGTCTGTATTCACGTAGTGTGGTGTGTCTGTACCACCACGGTGTTCACTGTGTAGTGTTGAAACAGTCCGTGTTTCCTGTTTGTATTCACGTAGTGTGGTGTCTCTGTACCTCCACGGTGTTCACTGTGTAGTGTTGTAGTAGGCCGTGTCTCTTGTCTGTATTCAAGTATTGTGGTGTCACTGTACCACCACGGTGTTCACTGTGTAGTGTTGCAGTAGTTCGTGTTTCCTGTTTGTATTCACGTAGTGTGACGCCTCTGTACCTCCACGGTGTTCACTGTGTAGTGTTGTAGTAGGCCGTGTCTCCTGTCTGTATTCACGTCGTGTGGTGTCACTGTACCACCACGGTGTTCACTGTGTAGTGTTGTAGTAGGCTGTGTCTCCTGTCTGTATTCACGTAGTGTGGTGTCTCTGTACCTCCACGGTGTTCACTGTGTAGTGTTGTAGTAGGCCGTGTCTCTTGTCTGTATTCACGTAGTGTGGTGTCACTGTACCACCACGGTGTTCACTGTGTAGTGTTGTAGTAGGCTGTGTGTCCTGTATCCCTGTCTGTATTCACGTAGTGTGGTACCACTGTACCACCACGGTGTTCACTGTGTAGTGTTGTAGTAGGCCGTGTCTGTTGTGTGTATTCACGACGTGTGGTGTCTCTGTACCACCACGGTGTTCACTGTATAATCTTCTAATAGGCTGTGTCTTCTGTCTGTATTCACGAAGCGTGGTGTGTCTGTACCACCACGGTGATCACTATGTAGTGTTGTAGTAGGCCGTGTCTCTTGTCTGTATTCACGTAGTATGGTGTCACTGTACCACCACGGTGTTCACTGTATAGTGTTGTAGTAGTCCGTGTTTCCTGTCTGTATTCACGTAGTGTGGTGTCTCTGTACCACCACGGGGTTCACTGTGTAGTGTTGTAGTACGTCGTGTCTCTTCTCTGTATTCGCGTAGTGTGGTGTGTCTGTACCACTACAGTGTTCACTGTGTAGTGTTGTAGCACGCCGTGTCTCCTATCTGTATTCGCGTAGTGTGGTGTGTCTGTACCACCACGGTGTTAACTGTGTAGTCTTCTAGTAGACCATGTCTTCTGTCTGTTTTCATGTAGTGTATTGTCACTGTACCTCCACGGTGTTCACTGTGTAGTGTTGTACTCGGCCGTGTCTCCTGTCTGTATTCACGTAGTGTGATGTCTCTGTACCACCACGGTGTTCACTGTGTAGTGATGTAGTAGGCCGTGTTTCCTGTCTGTATTCACGCAGTGTGGTGTCACTGTACCTCCACGGTGTTCACTGTGTAGTGTTGTAGTAGGCTCTGTCTCCTGTCTGTATTCACGCAGTGTGGTGTGTCTGTACCACCACGGTGTTCACTGTGTAGTGTTGTAGTAGGCCGTGTCTCCTGTCTGTATTCACGTAGTGTGGTGTGTCTATACCACCATGGTGTTCACTGTGTAGTGTTGTAGTAGGCCGTGTCTCCTGTATCCCTGTCTGTGTTGACGTAGTATGGTGTCTCTGAACCTCCACGGTGTTCACTGTGTAGTGTTGCAGTAGTCCGTGTTTCCTGTTTGTATTCACGTAGTGTGACGCCTCTGTACCTCCACGGTGTTCACTGTGTAGTGTTGTAGTAGGCCGTGTCTCCTGTCTGTATTCACGTCGTGTGGTGTCACTGTACCACCACGGTGTTCACTGTGTAGTGTTGTAGTAGGCTGTGTCTCCTGTCTGTATTCACGTAGTGTGGTGTCTCTGAACCTCCACGGTGTTCACTGTGTAGTGTTGTAGTAGGCCGTGTCTCTTGTCTGTATTCACGTAGTGTGGTGTCACTGTACCACCACGGTGTTCACTGTGTAGTGATGTAGTAGGCTGTGTGTCCTGTATCCCTGTCTGTATTCACGTAGTGTGGTACCACTGTACCACCACGGTGTTCACTGTGTAGTGTTGTAGTAGGCCGTGTCTGTTGTGTGTATTCACGACGTGTGGTGTCTCTGTACCACCACGGTGTTCACTGTATAATCTTCTAATAGGCTGTGTCTTCTGTCTGTATTCACGAAGCGTGGTGTGTCTGTACCACCACGGTGATCACTATGTAGTGTTGTAGTAGGCCGTGTCTCTTGTCTGTATTCACGTAGTATGGTGTCACTGTACCACCACGGTGTTCACTGTATAGTGTTGTAGTAGTCCGTGTTTCCTGTCTGTATTCACGTAGTGTGGTGTCTCTGTACCACCACGGGGTTCACTGTGTAGTGTTGTAGTACGTCGTGTCTCTTCTCTGTATTCGCGTAGTGTGGTGTGTCTGTACCACTGCAGTGTTCACTGTGTAGTAATGTAGCACGCCGTGTCTCCTATCTGTATTCGCGTAGTGTGGTGTGTCTGTACCACCACGGTGTTAACTGTGTAGTCTTCTAGTAGGCCATGTCTTCTGTCTGTTTTCATGTAGTGTATTGTCACTGTACCTCCACGGTGTTCACTGTGTAGTGTTGTACTCGGCCGTGTCTCCTGTCTGTATTCACGTAGTGTGATGTCTCTGTACCACCACGGTGTTCACTGTGTAGTGATGTAGTAGGCCGTGTTTCCTGTCTGTATTCACGCAGTGTGGTGTCACTGTACCTCCACGGTGTTCACTGTGTAGTGTTGTAGTAGGCTCTGTCTCCTGTCTGTATTCACGCAGTGTGGTGTGTCTGTACCACCACGGTGTTCACTGTGTAGTGTTGTAGTAGGCCGTGTCTCCTGTCTGTATTCACGTAGTGTGGTGTGTCTATACCACCACGGTGTTCACTGTGTAGTGTTGTAGTAGGCCGTGTCTCCTGTATCCCTGTCTGTGTTGACGTAGTATGGTGTCTCTGAACCTCCACGGTGTTCACTGTGTAGTGTTGTAGTAGGCTGTGTCTCCTGTCTCCCTGTCTGTGTTGACGTAATGTGGTGTCTCTGAACCTCCACGGTGGTCACTGTGTAGTGTTGTAGTAGGCTCTGTCTCCTGTCTCCCTGTCTGTATTCACGTAGTGTGGTGTCTCTGAACCTCCACGGCATCACTGTGTAGTGTTGTAGTAGTCAGTGTCTCTTGTCTGTATTCACGTAGTGTTGGGTCTCTGTACCTCCACGGTGTTCACTGTGTAGTGTTGTAGTACACCGTGTCTCCTGTCTGTATTCACGTAGTGTGGTGTCTCTGAACCTCCACGGTGTTCACTGTGTAGTGTTGTAGTACACTGTGTCTCCTATCTGTATTCGAGTAGTGCGGAGTGTCTGTACCACCACAGTTTTCACTGTGTAGTGTTGTAGTACGCCGTGTCTCCTGTATCCCTGTCTGTATTCACGTAGTGTGGTGTGTCTGTACCACCACGGTGTTCACTGTGTAGTGTTGTAGTAGGCTGTGTCTCCTGTATCCCTGTCTGTATTCACGCAGTGTGGTGTGTCTGTACCGACACGGTCTTCACTGAGTAGTGTTGTAGTAGGCCGTGTCTCCTGTCTGTATTCACGTAGTGTGGTGTGTCTGTACCACCACGGTGTTCACTGTGTAGTGTTCTAGTACGTAGTGCCTCTTGTACCACTGTCTGTATTCACGCAGTGTGGTGTCTCTTTACCGCCACGGTCTTCACTGTGTAGTGTTGTAGTAGGCCGTGTCTTCTGTCTCTATTCACGTAGTGTGGAGTCACTGTACCACCACGGTGTTCACTGTGTAGTGTTGTAGTAGGCCGTGCATTTTGTACCACTGTCTGTATTCACGTAGTGTGGTGTCTCCGTACCTCCACGATGTTCACTGTGTAGTGTTGTAGTAGGCCGTGTCTCCTGTCTGGATTCACGTAGTGTGGTGTCACTGTACCACCACGGTGTTCACTGTGTAGTGTTGTAGTAGGCCGTGCCTCCTGTCTGTATTCACGCTGTGTGGTGTCTCTGTACCTCCACGGTGTTCACTGTGTAGTGTTGTAGTAGGCTCTGTCTCCTGTCTCCCTGTCTCCCTGTCTGTATTCACGTAGTGTGGTGTCTCTGAACCTCCACGGTGATCACTGTGTAGTGTTGTAGTCGTCCGTGTCTCCTGTCTGTGTTGACGTAATGTGGTGTCTCAGAACCTCCACGGTGTTCACTGTGTAGTGTTGTAGTAGGCTGCGTCTCCTGTATTCCTGTCTGTATTCACGTAGTGTGGTGTCTCTGCACCCTCCACGGTGTTCACGTACTGCGTCGGAGCCATGGCGTATTGGTGATCGACGTCCTCGTACGCTGATGTAGAGGCATATACGTTTGTAGCTTGGGCATCTGAAACAAATAACACTTCAAATGTTACTTCAAGTACGGAGTGTATTTTATGACAAATTTTCGTTTGCATTACTCGTGTCCTAGCATGTTTAGTGTACAAAGCATTCTTGTGTTTTTGACTGTCTAAGTCATTCTGATTCTTGTTTTTTTTTTGATTACATCATGCATGTAACACCTATAACAAGGCATATTCCACACCTTTGGTCTTGTTCTTGTTGTGCGTCCACAGGGCGACGACAACGACAGTGACGACGCTGCCGAAAACAGCACCGCCAACAGTTCCAGCTGCTACGTAGACGCCACTGGGGGAGGTAACACACGCTGTAAATGGGAAACAACAGTCACTATCCTGGGTCAAAATTCGAATTTTGTTAGGGCTCGGGGCTCACGCTACCAGAACAGAGTCGGAATTACAATCAGTGAACGGTTTCCCAACACGTGGACACAAATATCTCCCCGAATCTGTTGTCGTGCTCTATGAATGATTACTACAAACATTAATGACCATAACAGTGTTAAACTGAGTAGATGTAACATTGCTCAAACATACTACACAATCTAAACAATAAACATAAAACAACATGGTAATCGTTTAAGTGTGTATACTTTATTTTTATAATGTATGCAATTTCAAACAATGTGAAAACGTATCACTCCAGTTGTTTTAAGTCATTGCATATGTTTAACTAGTCAACTGCACAACATAAAACAGTATATGTAACTCTGGTAAAGTTATACAACATTCTCGGTGTCTTCAATGATGGTCAGTTCTGTGACAGTCTTGTAGGTTGAGCTCCTCATTTCAGGAAGAGATATTGATAACTTTTAACAATTGATTGACTTTTCTAGTACTTTTTTGGTTATTATTATATGCCACGTTTCTTTGGCGCCCTATATGACCTACTTCCAGATCACTCTAAGGCGCTTCACAAGTTGTTTTCCCCTCGATTATTGGATGTCAGTCTCAAACGTCACATTACATTATCAATCGCAACTCCCTGGGGCATCATACAACTCTTGCAGCCACTAGGCGCACCGAGTTAATGTGACTTTGGCATCCTTACTAGGAACCCATTCACAGCTGGGTGGACTGGGACATATAGTCACAGTACTTTGTCCAAGTTTACTGCACATTGCTGCACTCGCAACTAGTTTCACTCCGAGGTTTTCACTCCCGGTCACAGGTCGGCTCGATCCAGGCACCTCAAGCTCGTTGGATCACTAGCCTGGCGACAGCTCACAGCTCGCCCACCACGCCCCACGAAAAATGTTTTTGTTTTACTTGTCCAGCAGATCTGGGTTTTATCTGAAGGTAAAGCCAGCGTCCGTCACGAGCCTACCTGGACATTGCTGTGTCGTTGTCACAGGGGGAGTACTGATGGACATACTAGTGTCACCTGGGGGAACTGTTAATGCAGACGATGATGATGCTGTTGTGGTTGTTGTAGAAACTGTAGAAACTGATGCAGAGTGTGTTGACTGGGGAACAGTCACATCTGAAACAAAGGGGAGAAGTTAATAAGTACCAAAAGGTTAACACTTTTCGTCTTAGTCACATTCTGTTAGTGAGCGAGTGAGTGAGTGGTTTACGTAATTAAAGGCACAATGTCACACAATAGTTTGGCCTATAGTGCGTGCGTGCGTGTGTGTGTGTGTGTGAGCATCCTAGGGCTGAGTGTAATGAAACATTACAGCGAACAACACAGCGAAAAACAAGGGTGCTGAAACACACCAGCACCGTGTTTGATTCAGAGGATAGTTAGTAATATTGAGAGAAAAGCATTATTTCTTTTTAGAGAAGTGTGGTGTAATATAGTGCCTTATCACGGACAATAATAAGTTTCTGCCCTTTTTGCATCCCACAGAAATTTACTTAGTCAACGTGATAGCATGATTCGGCTGCAATTAAATCATTCACGTCTATAATACGTACAAAGACCTTGTGTGCATATTTTGCATTTGTGTACACTTTAGACTGTATTATTAGGGTAGAAACATGGCTCGTCTTCTGCTTGCTTTCGGCACTCTGACAGAGAATACACAAGGTCAAGTCAACTGTTGAAGTACCCCTGCGTAAAAAGCAGTATCCTTCATCTGAAACACCAGTCTGTTCATTTCCTTGTGAAGCATTGGACTGTTCCTTGGCAAGCCTTACATTAATTTTTCCCTAATGTGTGTATGACAGTTACTTATATACCGCTGGCTATGTATATACCGCTGGCTATGTATATACTGCTGGCTACGTATATACCGCTAGCTACGTATATACCGCCAGCTACTGGCTACGTATATACCGCCAGCTACTGGCTACGTATATACCGCTAGCTACGTATATACTGCTGGCTACGTATATACCGCGGTAACATTATTAATCAATATTAATCCTGTGGTAACATTATTAATCAATATATTGTAAAAAGAGTTCATTGTATGGATGGAGAATGATAAATAAAACACTTTTTTTTAAATTTGAATTTTGCACTCATTGACCTTTGACCCCAATTTGTGACCTAATTAGACATTTTTGAGCTTAGCAAACAACAGATTCGTATTCAGCAGGAAAAACTACCCTAGAAAATGCTATTTGCTGGCTTTTACTCAAAAATGCCTCATGCATCATTAAACTCCACATTTCTTAGAAATTTGACTAGACGAAAAGCGGGTGTGTTGTGACAGGCGCTGACAGTCTAAGGGAGATAACTTTAGCTACCAGAAGTTAGAATTAATGCAGACACTATCAGTGAGTTGGGATATATTAATGTTGCACGGCAACTGGTAAGTAAATCTACATTATTGAAGCAGTTTTGTACATCTCACCAGGATATCTGGTGGTTTCAGATTATGTTGATGTACAGATATTTTAGAAACAGCCGTTTTGTGACTGGTTACAGAATGTATGTTGTAAGAGGCTGTGCTGAAGATTGATCTTTCAGTTGGGGGAATGTCCAAAATGATGCATGTCTTGGGTGTTTATTTTGTTGTCAACCAACGGCTTGGTGCTGACAAATCTAATGATGCAATGTTGTTGCTGATAATGAACAAAGAAAACACAGCGCCTCACATATCACCATCGTATTGCTCGTCTGACTGTCGACATTACCCACACACTGCCACCTGGATCCATTGTCTAGGGCTGAGTTGATCCTGAGAGTCACATTGTGTTGTGTGGCATCACAGCTCACATTGACCCGACCTGACAGATACAAGTTGAAGACGTCAGGGTTGGATAAACCAGGACTGAAGGAACCTTGTGTTGTGGAGAAGACTAATGTATCATCTATGTTCCACAGTCTGTCTTGTCCCCCAGTTGTGTTACTGCTGCAGATCAGGGTGAACAGTTCTCCGTCTGTCACTGTCATGGGGGAACTTGTCAGGACTAAAGAACCTGATAAAAATCGCACATGAAAAAAGATATCACAATCTTATTAAACCCGGGGACAAACATAAGTTAGTAAGTATAATGTGATGTACAAAAGATAAAGATTACTCGTATGCTGTTCTGCATTACAGGTAAAGACATTTGTCCATGCCGTTAATGTCATACCACGACTGTCTGTTTTAGTCTTCCTGATTGAAGGTTATTTCACCTTCTCGAATGTTTCTGAGTACATAGACATTCTTTTAATATTGAGAAGTAACTACTAATAACATGCTGAAGAATTCATAGCTGCAGAGCTAAAGTGAGTGAGTGAGTTTAGTTTTACGCCACACTCAGCAATATTCCAGCTATATGGCGGCAGTCTGTAAATAATCCAGTCTGGACCAGACTGTCCAGTAATCAACAGCATGAGCATCGACCTGTGCAATTGGGAACCGATGACATGTGGCAACCAAGTCAACGAGCCTGACCACCCGATCCCGTCAGTCGCCTCTTACGACAAGCATATGCATGGGTTACTGAAGGTTCATTCTGACACGCATCTTAAACGGGTTTGCAGCGCTAAAGACGCTGATTTAGTTTTCTGTTACATTAAATCCGAATCGGGATTCGAACCCACTACCTTCAGAAAGTACTCAATGATGTATTCCGAAATACAGCATGTGTTACATCTGACCACTTTCTGAAAGGCAATGTGTATTGCATCACCGTTGTTGTGAGTCACATTAACACGACACTGCAAACATTGGATTGGAAGACTATTCTGCATGAAGAACATATGAACAAGAGTAAATAGTTTATATTACGATAGGTGTGCTGTTATGACAGTAGCAAGGATCAACTTCAATATTTACCTTTAACTTCAACTAAAGATAGTTCAAGTGCATGGAACAGCTGCGATCACTCAACACAACGCCAAATAGGGCGGGTCTCAGGTCCACATTCTGACGCCGCCCACATCCTCACGGTGTATTGCTCGGTTTCCCAGACGCATCAGCAAGTGTATACCTTGGGAAGCGATGTCAATGTGACGGCAAGGGAAGAAATATTATCTGTATAACACTGCACTGAAGTAGAGGATAATGTCAGTTACGACTTAAAGCCGAGAGCATCGTCATCGTCAGTAAGAAGAAATAACTATCATCTAACACTGTTGTTTTACAACAAAGATCAACAATATTACTCCTCACATCTCTGATGTCTTGGGAGCCAAGTCTGAAGCCAGGTACGCGTTTTATAAGTACCGCCGTTTTATAAGTACAGCCGTTTCATAAGTACCGCCGATTTATAAGTACCGCCGTCTTCACTGGTATTAGACAATACCATGTCAGGGACACCAGAGATGAGCTTCAGACAACGTACCTAAACATAGAATGTGACCTGGGCGTTGGAGGGAACGCTTTAACCACTCGGCCACCTCACCGCCTGACCAAACCACCAAAGCCATGACACCAGATAAAAGGTGTGGATTCGAGGGTCTAAGACATCAGTTCGGACATATGTACCCAAGTAGCGTCTGCCACATCTGACCTACTAGTGTCATGTTGGGATGAACGTCGTTGTTTTCTGATGCTACACTCATGTCCCAGAAGTCCAGGTAATACACATAGTGTGGTGTCTCTGAACCTCCACGGTGTTCACTGTGTAGTGTTGTAGTAGGCCGTGCATCTTGTACCACTGTTTGTATTCACCTAGTGTGGTGTATCTGTACCTCCACGGTGTTCACTGTGTAGTGTTGTAGTAGGCCGTGCATCTTGTACCACTGTCTGTATTCGCGTAGTGTGGTGTATCTGTACCTCCACGGTGTTCACTGTGTAGTGTTGTAGTAGGCCGTATCTCCTGTCTGTATTCACGTAGCGTGGTGTCACTGTACCACCACGGTGTTCACTGTGTAGTGTTGTAGTAGGCTGTGTTTCCTGTATCCCTATCTGTATTCACGTAGTGTGGTGTCTTTGTACCTCCACGGTGTTCACTGTGTAGTGTTGTAGTAGTCCATGTCTCCTGTATCCCTGTCTGTATTCACGTAGTGTGGTGTCTCTGAACCTCCACGGTGTTCACTGTGTAGTGTTGTAGTAGGCCGTGTCTCCTGTCTGTATTCACGTAGTGTGGTGTCACTGTACCACCACGGTGTTCACTGTGTAGTGTTGTAGTAGGCTGTGTTTCCTGTATCCCTATCTGTATTCACGTAGTGTGGTGTCTTTGTACCTCCACGGTGTTCACTGTGTAGTGTTGTAGTAGGCCGTGTCTCCTGTCTGTATTCACGTAGTGTGGTGTCTCTGTACCTCCACGGTGTTCACTGTGTAGTGTTGTAGTAGGCTGTGTCTCCTGTATCCCTGTCTGTATTCACGTAGTGTGGTGTCTCTGAACCTCCACGGTGTTCACTGTGTAGTGTTGTAGTAGTCCATGTCTCCTGTATCCCTGTCTGTATTCACGTAGTGTGGTGTCTCTGAACCTCCACGGTGTTCACTGTGTAGTGTTGTAGTAGGCCGTGTCTCCTGTCTGTATTCACGTAGTGTGGTGTCTCTGTACCTCCACGGTGTTCACTGTGTAGTGTTGTAGTAGGCTGTGTCTCCTGTCTGTATTCACGTAGTGTGGTGTCTTTGTACCACCACGGTGTTCACTGTGTAGTGTTGTAGTAGGCTGTGTTTCCTGTATCCCTATCTGTATTCACGTAGTGTGGTGTCTCTGTACCACCACGGTGTTCACTGTGTAGTGTTGTAGTAGTCCATGTCTCCTGTATCCCTGTCTGTATTCACCTAGTGTGGTGTATCTGTACCTCCACGGTGTTCACTGTGTAGTGTTGTAGTAGGCTGTGTCTCCTGTCTGTATTCACGTAGTGTGGTGTCTCTGAACCTCCACGGTGTTCACTGTGTAGTGTTGTAGTAGGCTGTGTCTCCTGTATCCCTGTCTGTATTCACGTAGTGTGGTGTCTCTGTACCACCACGGTGTTCACTGTGTAGTGTTGTAGTAGGCTGTGTCTCCTGTCTGTATTCGCGTAGTGTGGTGTCTCTGTACCACCACGGTGTTCACTGTGTAGTGTTGTAGTAGTCCATGTCTCCTGTATCCCTGTCTGTATTCACGTAGTGTGGTGTCTCTGAACCTCCACGGTGTTCACTGTGTAGTGTTGTAGTAGGCTGTGTTTCCTGTATCCCTGTCTGTATTCACGTAGTGTGGTGTATCTGTACCTCCACGGTGTTCACTGTGTAGTGTTGTAGTAGGCTGTGTCTCCTGTATCCCTGTCTGTATTCACGTAGTGTGGTGTCTCTGAACCTCCACGGTGTTCACTGTGTAGTGTTGTAGTAGGCTGTGTCTCCTGTATCCCTGTCTGTATTCACGTAGTGTGGTGTATCTGTACCTCCACGGTGTTCACTGTGTAGTGTTGTAGTAGGCTGTGTTTCCTGTATCCCTGTCTGTATTCACGTAGTTTGGTGTCTTTGTACCTCCACGCTGTTCACTGTGTAGTGTTGTAGTAGGCTGTGTCTCCTGTCTGTATTCACGTAATGTGGTGTCTCTGAACCTTCACGGTGTTCACTGTGTAGTGTTGTAGTAGGCTGTGTTTCCTGTATCCCTGTCTGTATTCACGTAGTGTGGTGTCTCTGAACCACCACGGTGTTCACTGTGTAGTGTTGTAGTAGGCTGTGTCTCCTGTCTGTATTCACGTAGTGTGGTGTGTCTGTACCTCCATGGTGTTCACTGTGTAGTGTTGTAGTAGGCTGTGTCTCCTGTCTGTATTCACGTAGTGTGGTGTCCTTGCACCCTCCACGGTGTTCACTTTGTAGTGTTGTAGTAGGCTGTGTCTCCTGTCTGTATTCACGTAGTGTGGTGTCTCTGGACCACCACCGTGTTCACTGTGTAGTGTTGTAGTAGGCCATGTCTCCTGTCTGTATTCACGTAGTGTGGTGTCTCTGCACCCTCCACGGTGTTGACGTACTGCCTCGGAGCCATGGCGTATTGATGATCGACATCCTCGCACGCTGATGTAGAGGCGTATACGTTTGTAGCTCGGGCATCTGAAACAAATAACACTTCAAATGTTACTTCAAGTACGGAGTGTATTTTATGACAAATTTTCGTTTGCATTACTCGTGTCCTAGCATGTTTAGTGTACAAGGCATTCTTGTGTTTTTGACTGTCTAAGTCATTCTCGTTCTTGTTTTTTGTGATAACATCATGCATGTAACACCTATAACAAGGCATGTTCCACACCTTTGGTCTTGTTCTTGTTGTGCGTCCACAGGGCGACGACAACGACAGTGACGACGCTGCCGAACACAGCACCGCCAACAGTTCCAGCTGCTACGTAGACGCCACATTGGGAGGTAACACACGCTGTAAATGGGAAACAACAGTCACTATCCTGGGTCAAAATTCGAATTTGTTTTGTTAGGGCTCAGGGCTCACGCTACCAGAACAGAGTCGGAATTACAATCAGTGAACGCTTTCCCAACACGTGGACACAAATATCTCCCCGAATCTGTTGTCGTGCTCTATGAATGAATACTACAGACAATAATGACAAACACCATAAACTGTTAAACTGAGTAGATGTAACATTGCGCAAACATACTACACAATCTAAACAATAAACATAAAACAACATGGTAATCGTTTAAGTGTATATACTTTATTTTTATAATGTATGCAATTTCAAACAATGTGAAGACGTATCACTCCAGTTGTTTTAAGTCATTGCATATGTTTAACTGGTCAACTGCACAACATGAAACAGTATCTGTAACTCTGGTCAAGTTATACAACATTCTCGGTGTCTTCAATGATGGTCAGTTCTGTGACAGTCTTGTTGGTTGAGCTCCTGATTTCAGGAAGAGATATTGATAACTCTTACCAATTGATTCACTTTTCTAGTACTTTTTCTGTTATTATTAGCGCCCTATATGACCTACTTCCAGATCACTCTAAGGCGCTTCACAAGTTGTTTTCCCCTCGATTATTGGATGTCAGTCTCAAACGTCACATTGCATTATCAATCTCAACTCCCTGGGGCA